CACCCATAATTATGCTTGTAAACCAGGGGGAGGGAACACGGTTGTACTTTCAACTGAACACTTGAATAGGTTTTACAACTGTACTTTGTCCTTTATGAGTACTTTGTACTACTATGAGTAGTTTACCGAATCTGAATTTTACTTGAGTGAATTTGATAAAAGAATTCAACTCAACTATATGACTGTTTATATTAATGCTCTGTTCGTCTAAAAAAAAAAGAAAGAAAACTAAATAAGTAACTCAAAAAAACAGCAGTAATCCATTTGCTTTTTGTAATCAAATCCCCAAATAGAGGCAAAAAGCTCTATTTGGGGAGTTTCTGGTGGTTCTCACAAAATCTTTTTTGTTATATAGTCACATTAAGTTGCATAAGAGATTAAAACTGCATTTAAAAAAGCGGTTGAGAGCATTGTAAAGTTCCTCAGTAAAAAGAGTGGACTCTAGCAGAGGTGTACAATTTAAGTGAAGAAAGAGAAAAGCCAATGATGAATTAAGGAAACTTTATTGATCTCACATTGGAGAAATGTACCTCTGCATTTAACCCATCCCCTTGAGGAGCAGTGTGCAGCGCCTGCTCTCCAGGCGCTGCACAATCTTCGATCTTTGCTTAGGGAACCAGAGTGGCAGTCTGTGGGATTGGGGCTCAAACTCAGAACCTCAGGATTCCAAGCGCTATTCCCTAACCACTAGGCCATCACTTCCCACGTTCAACCTAATGAATTTCAAGCCTAACATAGACATTCTGCATTGGGCACACTTTTACATCTAGCTGCTGTACTTTCCCCTTTCATGTGATCAATAGTAAAAACCCTATTTTGGGTCGGAAAGGAACTTCCATCTGCTGTGCTGAAACTGTAAAGCCTTTATTATTTAAAGGTCATTACAAGATACCTCATGCACCTCTGTGCACCCTGTGTTTGTTTTATTAGAGCCGATGTCCCAAGTTAATTTCTCCATTGTGAGCTCAATAATGGTCTATTCTATAAATTTCCATTGCTTTGTTTTTAAATAATAATATGAAAATAGTAAGTTACTCCACATATTATTACAGTACTCATTTAGTGAGGATATTCTTTATTGAAAGCACTTATGATCAACACAAACTTTCAATTGGCGATATGGCAGCGTTTTACAACAAGGCAGTGTATCTCATATGCCCATATGTGTATGCAGTAAAGCTAAACATTTATGTTTATTTTATCAAACAATTGTTCCAACAAATAGTAACATGGGTGGATAATTACATTTCTTGCATATTTAATCAAAAACAGATTAGAACTTGAACTAAAACAAATAATAACTAGAAAATAACTAGTAAAGAACAGACCTCCACCAAGCAGCATATTTTGCCCCAAATCGTGACTTACACCTATAGCTAAAACTTGCTCATGATCTGGATCATTGCCAAATTTTAATGAGTTGTTTCTCGGTATGAGGCACACCTCTGCTAAAAAATAAAGCAAATGAAAAAAGTATCCTTAAAATCCATTAATATGTTTTCTAATGATCCTGCCAACAAATCAACAAGGTTCCCTTTACTTGGGTTTTTACCTTCAATAAAATAGGCTGTTAATTATCACTGCTGCCACCCTCTGGTTTAGTGGGGAACTGCCTTTCCTACCAAATATCCCTATCCAACAATGTTAGAGAATCTTTTAAAAATACCTGCATACAGAATATGATCTGAAACATCATCAAAATTGAATAGATAGGTGTGTTTTTGACCATTATTGAGTCATTTCTGATTCCCAAACCAGCTGCCAAGCTGCNTATGTGGCTGTGTGCTGGACTGAATCTGGGTTCTTCCAATAGGCTGTGACGGACTGAGCTTCCAGACCCGGAGGCAGAAGAAATTACACAACAAAAAAACTCGAATACATATTTGGTCAGTCGAAGTTCAGATAAGTTAAAACTATTTAAGTTTAAGGAACTCAGCAGAGGATCCCTGATACAGAGAAATCCCAGCATATAGAGGCTGAGTGAATGTGGTCTGGACTCTATGGAGGAGAGTCATGGTGCCAGAGACACTGTAGAAAGACAGAATACCTGCTCTGTGATCCAGATACACTCCTATTCTGGAGGAAACTCGACCCGATACTGGAAATCTCACATCATTGTGGATATATGTATAACTATTCTGATCACAACGCAATGCCCAGGAAATAGTATTCGATCCAAACAAATTTGCATCTGCGCTTCCTATTCTTTTAATATCATTTGATGACACAGCTAGACGGATGGCCCTTCCTCTCCACTCCACCTCCCAATAACAGCGTCCAGGCAGATGCTCTCTACACAGAACCTCAAAACAAACATTAACTAAGGCTGGATTATAAGAAGGAAAATGTTGTTGTTCAAACACAAATGTTGCTTTCCTGTTCCCCTCAGATAATAACAGGAATCTGTTTGCACTTTTCGGATCCAGAGTGATTTGCCTAGAATATTTTAGGAATCCAGTTCTGGTCTTTGGTTCTGGTTCTGACAGTAGGACATCCACATCAGATACTGCCACTGAAATGTTTGTCTCTGTATCTCTCAGGATGTCCTGTAGTTTCTCTCTGAGCTCTGACACAGCTGCTGTCACATCCTCAAAGTATCTCAGAGGACGATTATTGATGCTGGATGAGTGTGTAGAGTCACTGAGTGCTGACAGTGAGGGGTAGTTCTGGAGAAACTGGTTGTGATCCTCTGTGATTGAGAACTTCTCCAGCTCAGCATCTTTCCTCTTCAGCTCAGTGATCTCCTGCTCCAGCTTCTTCTGAAGCTCTTTGACTCGACTCACTTCAGTTTCCTGCTGGGATCTGATCTGCTGCTTCACATCAGAGCTTCTTTTCTGCAGGAGACAGATCAGATCAGTGAAGATCTTCTCACTGTCCTCCACTGCATTATCAGCAGAGATATTGATGACCTCCACCTCCTGTTGAAGCAGCTTCACATCTTTCTCCTGGTCCTGGATTCTCTGCTGGATTTGTTGTCGTCTCTCCTGGAGCTCCTTCTGCTTCTCAGTCCTTTCTGCTTCAGCTGGGACTGTTTCATGGCCTTTATGTTCATCCATGGTGCAGAGATAACCGATACACTGCTGATCAGTACGACAGAAGGTCTTGTCGAGTTAAAAAAAATATAAGAGCGCTGAGAGTTGCCTAAATGCTGCTCAGTGATGTTCTGAGGCTGCAGCATGCCAACCCCTGGATAAAAAGGGGACTACCCACACATTAACATTTCCCAAGAGAAAACACT